GTGAGGCCGAAGGCCCCTGCCATGGCTGCAGCTTCAGTCCCGGTGCCTGTGGTCTGCGGGGGGGGGCCCCCAAGCAGACCACAGGCACCCGGACTGAAGCGGCAGCAGCGGCGGTTCCCCGCGCTTCTGAGGCTTTGCTCTGGCAAAGCCTCAGAAGCGCGGGAACCTGCCCGGTGCCCCTGGTCTGCTGGAGACGGTCTCCAGCAGACCAGGGGCACCGGAGCAGCTTACGAACGGGGCTTTCTCGCCCCGACTTCCGGGGCGAGAAAGCTCCGTTCGTAAGTGCAGATCCGACATAAGTCGGATCCGCGTAAGTCGGGGACTGCCTGTAGCCCAATAATAGGGGTTGCTGGCATAAAAGTTTCTGTGGGTAAGGAGACTACACAGAAACAGTGAATAGGCATACAATGTGAAGTGTTAGCCTATAAACAGAAGTATGCAGCAAGTTATAAACACAGGAAAAAATAAATAAGAAAAACTGAGAAGATTGCTTTCTTTGTGTGCTCTGTGCAGAATTTGTGGTAAGCATTGTACCTCCCAAGAACCAATGGTCTCAGTGAGGCAATTAAAGGGGGGAAAAAGAGTTTCCTGCCAAATAGGACTTCAAAACAAACCTGTATCAATATGACATAGTCCAACACTTCATTTCCTCTAAAAAGAGACAAGAACAACATGGATTTCATGGATTGCCATTGGCTTTGTTATGCTGGAACAGTAGACAGAGAGTATTTAATACCTGGAATGTATTTACCACAATTCTTTAGAAAGTGTCCTCATCTCTCTGGCTAAAAATGAACAACTAAATTTATAATTCAAGGGTCGTTTACTCAGCAGTTGGAAATGTCATTCTTTGGACAAGTCGGAATGTGTTCCACAGTAGCTGCATTAAACAAAAACCTATTCAAAGTAAATTTGAACTAGGGATGTAAAATCCTGTTTTACTGGCTAACTGGGTTAAACAGTTCCTGTTGGTAGCAGGCCCAGATGGGGCTGGAGCAATCCCTGCCCCCAGTGGGTGGGAAGCTGCTCCAGCCCACCAGTTAACCTGAACCAGTTAAACCTTCACTTCTCTAATTTGCACAAGGCTTCATTTAATACAGGAAAAATGCCAGATCTCGTGTTTATTTTCTTTAGAAGATTGAAGAATGCAACCTTTGAATAAGGAAAAACAACTATATCTGTTTTGTATAATCAGGCCTGAATTAGCAAAAATCAGGTCAAATTCTAAAAAGACCTCTCCGAGAAGGGATATAATCATGAATTCCTTTTGTTTGAATGCCTGATCTTAACGAGAGTCCTTCCACTGTAATTCTCTAAGCACTGGATCAGGCCTCTTACCATAATCATTAGACATTTGTTATCACTAAAACATCTATGTTTCTTTCAAGTTTTCTAGGGATGTGACCGTGTTGTCAAGAATATAGTTAACCCATAACTGGGCTCATCGGTTAACCCTCTCGGTTATATGCAGCCTCCCTCCCTCCCCCACTGCCTCTGTATCTTTTAAACCAGTTCCCCACATGTGCCTCCTCCTACAGAGCTCCCTTCCCACCTCTGATACAGAGGTAGCAAGGTAGGCAGAAACGGGACCTGGAGCTCACCAGGATCCGGCTTAAAAGCTCCCCCACACCCCTCATGTAAACATGTATCTGCTGAAAATTTCAGCAGATACACATTTACAAAAATAAATTCATTTTAACATCCCTAGTTTGTTCTTGCACTTATTTACTTTTACAGTACCCAGAACAGTAGTACTTTATGCATATAGGCTGTGTCTAGACTGGCAAGTTTTTCTGCAAAATCATCTGCTTTTGCGGAAAAACTTGCCAGCTGTCTACACTGGCCGCTTGAATTTCCGCAAGAACACTGACGATCTCATGTAAGATCGTCAGTGTTCTTGTGGAAATACTGTGCTGCTCCCGTTTGGGCAAAAGCCCTCTTGCACAAATCATTTGCGCAAGAGGGCCAGTGTAAACAGCACGGTACTGTTTTCCGCAAAAAAGCCCCGATCACGAAAACGGCGATCGGGGCTTTTTTGCGGAAAAGCGCGTCTAGATTGGCCACGGATGCTTTTCCACAAAAAGTGCTTTTGCGGAAAAGCGTCCGTGCCAATCTAGATGCTCTTTTCTGAAAATGCTTTTAACGGAAAACTTTTCCGTTAAAAGCATTTACGGAAAATCATGCCAGTGTAGATGTAGCCATAATCTTTATTCATGCTTAAAAGAAAAAATATATATTATGGAGCTTCTTAAAAAAGTGTAAAATTATTTGAAAATATCAAGGAGAATTAGGGATGTAAATTCTCAAGTAACTGGTTAACTGTGAAGTTTAAACTTAATGTTTAACTGGTTAACCAATTAAGGGAGGCCGCTCTAGCCCATCTGGAGCAGCCCTTGCCTGTGTCCCCCCACTCCCAGTCCCACCATGGATATGGCCTGTTGCGGATGCCCAGAGCAGATCCATGGCGGCGGGCCCTGTGGGGCTGTAGCAGACCCCTGCCCATGGCAGACTGAGATCTGTTCAAGCGCCCATCAGTTAACTGGTTAACCTTTCACATCCCTAAGGGTATGTCTACACTTGCCCCCTACTTGGAACTAGGGATGCAAATGTAGGCATTAGAAATAGTCAATGAAGCGGGGATTTAAATATCCCGCACTTCATTAGCATGATCTCGCCGGCACGTTACTCGTCTCAACAGCTGTTACGAAAGTGAAAGTGCGTGCCGGGACGCGTTAGTTCGAACCAAACCCCTTGGTTCGAACTAACGTTACTCCTCAAAAAATTAGGAGTACTCACTTAGGGTAGACATACCCTAAGTGAATTAGCACAACACACATTGAAACGCTGAAAAAACTGTATGTCAGCCCATCGTATACTTTGTTCTTAATTCTATTACTTTTCTATGGTGTAAGAAGATTGCAGATAAATGTAATAATGAGAACTGCTGAAGAGCTAACTCCAGTCCAATTTGGAGAGACATAAAAAAGTGGGGTTTTCTTCTTTCACATGACAGCTAAATAAATAGCACAGACACACTAGAGATATATCATCCTCTCTGTGATTAGGACAAGAAAATTATTACCATTAGGGTTATTAGCAACGCTGCTAACCACTTTATGTAAGTAGTGTCCCCCTCTTTAGCCCATTTTGTGAACTATAATATTCTAACACTTATTTGAGGAGGGACCAAGCAACGGAATTTGTTAAAAACTGAGGAATAATAATATAAAAGCCAAAAGGAGGAAGATGAATTTGTTGTACAAGAATTATATACATTGGCAACACACTACTTTTGGAAATCTCCCCCAGAGCTACCTCCAGGATGTTAGAAAGTGAGCTGCTGATTCTCCCAGGGCATAATAAAATGCAAGAGAAGACTGAAACATCTGCAAGAATGTTATTTAAGAGGCATCATCATCACACACATGCACACTGCATATGTGCAGTCTGAACAGGTGAACTTCCTTGCTTTTGGAAAAGAGAGTGACTGTGTGGAAAAAAGACAGGGCATGGGGAAAGCTGTTCTCAGCAAGATCACTGATGTATTTATTCAATTTATTTCTTTTGATTTCTATAGGGCATAAGACAGACTCGAATATCACAATTAATTTAATCACTCTTTCAACGCAAAATGTACCATTCATTTAATAATAGTAAACGAGACTAGGCTATAACAGAATAGAGGTTTCACTGAAGCATAGATGGGAAGTAGTAAGAGCATGGCTCATTAGAATACTCTTTCTATATCTGGCCTGAAATGAATAATTGAAATTCATACAGACATTTACAAACAAAGTGGTGCCATCATTAAAGTGACTCATACTGATGGATAACTGTGCCCTGCATTCATATATCATAAATCCTTGCTTCACTTACTGGTACTTCTTTCCTAGAGGCAAACACACAAACCAAGTGTGCATATTAAATTTTTTCTCTTTCACTTGCCTAGGTTCTGCTACATAATCTCAATACAAATACTTTTAATTTCTAAATGTAATGAACAGATCCTCTTGTATTTGAATAAAATCCTTCTGCATGTCACATTCTTGTATTAAGAATTGCTATCAGAGCTGTTTGGATAGTGTCAAGTAGTTCTTAGAATCACCCTAGAAGCACATTGTCATTCTGGAGACAGGCATGCATAGCAAATCTTAAAAACAATACAGAAACAAATACAGCATAGAAGAGGGAATTTAAAACTATGTTCATGTAAACAAGGAGAAAACCTTTTTGGTAGCATGAGGAGCAAGTCTAATCTAGATGTGAAGATTCTATAGAATAAAGTCATTTCACTTTTGGAGAAAAAGGCTGGTTAAAATGTACTCTCCTGCTGTGACTTTGTACAGTGCTTTGTAATCTGATACATTTGTACTGTTCTTGGTTAACTGAGGCCTGGTGTACACTGGCAAGGTTTTTTTTTTTTACTAAAAGTCAGCTTTTTGCACTGAAAAGGAGGTGTCCACACAATTTGTACACTGAAACTCCTCCATTTAATGCTGCAATAAGAACACCCTGATGAGAATCATAAGGATTTAGCCCCATGGTGCCACTACAGAGATTGTGCTTGATTTTAGCACTGTTATTGGTGTCCAGGCAGTGTCCCACAATGCCCATCCTGACCCTGGTGCTAAACAACTTTCTGACCCTGCTCCTTTAAAGCCCTGGGGAATTCTGAAATTCCCCTTCCTATTTGCTCAGGGTGCAGAGCCCACATCCCCTGGTGGCTCCATGCAGCAGATGATCTCCTGCTTGGTCCACTACAGAGCTACTTAATCTGGTAAGTGTTTGGGGAGAGTAGGTTGTCCAATCCCTGCTGTGCTCAAGCCATAAGAATACATGATACCTATAGCTAGATTGCAGAGCAAAGATGAAGGAACTAAGGAATGCGTACAAGGCAGGGGAGCCAAATCAATGCTCTGAGGCTGCACCCCAGATGTCCTCTCTTTATAAGGAGTTGGACCCTATCCTAGGTAATGATCCCACTTCCACTGCAAAGAGCACCATGGACAATTACAATGGGTCTGGAGTCTGTTGAAATTGTACATAACCTAAAAGAGGAAGTTATTGAGCAGGAGGCTGAAGATACGGTATTCTGTGATGCATCCCAGTCAGGAGCTGTTCTCTAGTCCAGAAATGTCTAGCCAGTCTCTACAGTTGCTCTCTCATGAGCCTCTGGTAAGTGGTTTTTCTTTGGGAAGTTCTGAAGTGGGTTGAAGGCAAACACATGTAGAAGACTGATTTTGGTTGTGTGTGCTGAACATTTCCCCATGCAGCTAGGCAGTAAAGCGAAAGAGAGAGTTGATGCACTCCAGAATAGGGAGTTCATGGGAATCCTCCAGAGATCTCTCTAGGAAACTTTCCTGGAGGTACTCAGCCATCCTCTGCTGGAGGTTCCTTGGTAGAGCTGCTTTATCCTTTATCCACTGAGAGACACTCTCCCAGAGACACTTTCCCACACCACATTGCAATAACTTGGGTAAGGCCCAAAACTGCACACAGGCAAGCAACATGAGAACCAGGGTGGAAGCTGCAAACGTGTAGCAGATACAGCCTTGCTTCTCTGCTTAGCCTCAGGTGTAAAGTATCTTCCATAGCCTCCACAGCCTCTGGAAAATAGTGGGAAAGTTTAGAGCATTGAAGCTCCCACCCCATTTCAGATTGTTTTAGTGCAATAAACAAGGCCCCTACCCATGGGTTCACTCACCATTCCTGGGGTCTTCTGCCTCAAATGTGTTTGCCTAAGGTCACTGAGAAAGTGATAGGTGTGTTACCAGAAGAGTAGTGTTATTGTTTCAATGGTCTGTTTGTAACTGACAATAGCTCTTACATTTATTGTGAACCATGTGTCTCCATCTTGAGAAACAAGCCCTCTACCGCAGCAAAGCATCTTCACATGATATGAAAATGGCCAACATGGATCAAGAAATATATGTTCTGGGTTGTGCTGTAGCAGTCAGAGGCTGAAAAGAATGAATGCAAGAAGTGGAGGGAACGTGAAAATCAAGAAACTGAAGAATTCTTACAACAGGGATGCCACAGAGAGGCTGATTAAAGCATCAAGCCGACATGCTCCACCAGACTCTTGTAAAATTGCAGTCTGAGGAAATGTTTG